AATGGTCATCAATATTGATTCATCCGAGTACTCAAGAGTGCGACTACAGCTCCAACTGACCCCCAGCGCGCGGGCTCTGCCTCTCCCGACCTCTGAGGAAGGGCTCTGTCTCGCCCGACCTCTGAGGGAGGGCTTTGCCTCGCTCGACCCCGAGGTCGCGATCTTCGCCTCGCCCGACCCTCTGGGGGCGGGCTCCGCCACGCCCGACCTCTGGGACGGGCTCCGCCTTGCTCGACCCCGTGGGTGCGGGCTCCGTCTCACCCGACCCCTTGGGTTCGCACTCCGTCTCGTCCGACGGAGACCCATACCGCCGTCAACGACTCTAGGTCCAGGCGTATGGGCCTGGGTCAAGACTATGACATGAGGAAAGAGACTGGCACACCTCGATATAACCCATGGCCATGACGGGCCATACCAGAGGGTTCACATCAAGAACAGCGTCAGGCGTGCCGGTGCTGTTCTACCTAACCCTCGTACTTTATGTATTTTTCGTGATAGTAGAGGTGTGTAATTTTTTAAGAAAATTGCAGTAGATTCAATGGCTATTATCGGAGATGATGATTAGAGTCTATCAAACTAAAGGCCAGATGCTTCTGATTATTGTGAGATTTTTTAGGATTTATCTTTTTCCCAGCGCGTCTGGTGAGAGTTAACGTAGTGCCTACGTTGGAGCCTCTAATTAGTATTAGTATAATTTCACAATTTGTGGAAGTTTGTAATTTAGAAATATATATGTCTCGTACTTTGTGGATATTTATTTTTTTAATAGCATATATTAGCATTTACATATAGATTTGAGAGAGGTCGCTAATTTAGATGCAATGCGAGGGGTTATTATGAATTATGTTTTATAATAGCAAAGCGGGTAACTGATAGCCGGAGAGCACCCACTCAAATATAAAAAAATAGGAGGGCAGAGGTGGGTAATTTTTTTACAAAATTACAATAGATTAAATGGCTATTATCGGGCTATTATCGGAGACGATGATTAGAGTCTGCTAAATAAAAGGCCAGATGTTTCTAATTATTGTTAGAATTTTTAGGATTTATCTTTTTATTCTTAGCGCGTCTGGTAAGAGTTAACGTGGTGTCTCCGTTGGAGCCTTAGCAATAGTATGACGACTTCTAGTAGTCTAGACACACAATCAACACAAGACGGGAAGACCTGATTACATTAAATTTCGCCGAGGTCAAGCCGTGTCAATTTATATATATAAGGCCGCGCACTCAGTGAATAACTTTTATTCGATCATTAGTGTGTGTGGATGGTGGGTTGCTGGCTTTAAACTTTTGGGTCATTCCCATCTGGGTCCTCAAACTATGCACGCTGGGTCCTTAAACGGTTGGGTCATTCTCATCTAGGTCCTCAAACTAAAAAAAAAGCTATCATCTTGGTCCTCAATCTATTGTCGCAGCGCACCAAAGATCCAAAACCCGCCACGTCAGCGCAAGCATCTGACGTGGCCATGCCACGGTGGCACCTATTGGAGAGATTAATATCTTAGAGCTAGTAACTAGCTCTTACTGATTAATATCTTAGAGCTAGAGCTAGTAACTAGCTCTTACTGTTATGGGTGTCCTAATACATACTCATTTGTGTGTATGTACCAGGAGTAGGTACCATTAATTGGGTCCTATTGTGCATATACTATATATAGTAACTAGTGTTTAGGAGAAGACAACGGAAAGTCTGCGTAAGTGGGTCAAGAAGACGTAAGATTTAGCCAACCTGCTGCCACTTTAAGCGCCTAACAGAGGATGAATACAGTATTAGAAAAAGATGAGGCGGCACACATGAAAGCAACGTCGAATCCACCGCCGCAAGTGAGGCTAGACTGAATCAGTAACCTCTTTAATTTCCCGGGTTCTCACTTTTGTTTAGTTGGTTTTTGAGAGAGACGAGATAGATAAAAATGCTGTGCACAGTGGTGCACTGGTGGGAGTGGGTGGAGGAGATGTCGTCACCTTTGGGCCGTTCGGCTGGCTGGTTGCCAGCCAGCTGGCTGGTTCTATTCCTCACGAAATCACTGTTCACGTTCTGAATAGTATTTTTCTCTCACAACAATCAGTCGGAACAGTATTTTTCAGTCCTGCCGAACAAGCCATTTATTTATATCGATGTCATCCACGTACGCTTGACAAATAACTAGTCTCAAATGAAAAAAAAACAAAAAATAGTTCACTAATTGTGCTTCGTCGTACACCGATTTGGCCACTAGAATAGAATGGAGTTGTTTATGACCTCTCCACGAATAATGCACGGAAGAGGCCCCTCCACGGAAGTTTGGGCAAGTCAGTCAAGAAAAACTTTGATTGAGCCAACCTGCTCCTGCTGGACTAACGTATGATTCATATTAGAAAAAGAGGCGGCCGGCACGGCACATTGATGACAGCAACATTATCTTGCAAATATACATATAGCATACTCCCTCCGTCGCTAAATAACTGTTATCGTTGGTGTGCGTGCCGTAAGTTTGACTCGATTTGTAGAAAATGCGTGCAACATTTGTATTTCCAAATAAATTTATTACAAAACTGGATTCAAAGATATTTCCAATGATACTAATTATGTACCATAAATATTAATATTTTTTAATATATAATTAGTCAAAATTATTTCTCGGAAAATAAAAACGACATATATTTAGAGAATCACCACCTCACCCCCATTCCGAGTTCTCACTTGCTTGGCGTCCGCTCGTGCGTTTGTGGGGGAGACGAGAGATAGATGGGAGGCCTCACGAGGGCTGTGGACTAGTGGGAGGAGTGGCAGTTGCGCATCCTCGTCCTCACCAGCATGGTTGTCCAAGTCCTTCTCTTCATCTTCTCTTCATGACTCATGTTCACTTTCTCGACATGCTGCTCGTGGAAAGTTGGAATGTATATATATACAGTACATATACATACTGACTGTTTCGTCTTTGAGAGAGAGAAGGGTTCTGGTCTTGTGGACTGAAACTATGAGATGGCCTGGCCCAGAAGCGGAAACATCTAAAAGCCCAGTAGCTGGGCCAGGAAACATCTAAAAGCCCAGTAGCAAGCCCATGGGGGGCCGACGCCGGAGTAGCAGCCCAGTAGCAATCATCACGCATTCACGCGCTCGTCCACCAGTCACCGTCGCCACGCGCCCCGCGCCTCAACCGCCCCACGCTTGTCGGATCACCAAGCGCAAGGCCGGCCCGCCGCCGCCTGCGGCTGCTGGCGACCGGAGATGGACGGGGAGGACGGTGCCGCGGTCCTATGATCTTGAGCCCCCTCTAGCGAACTCGTCACCATGGCTCCTCTAAAATCTTATAATATATAGAAACTAATTTTACTTGCAAAGCGAAAATAATATAATAATATATTTTTAATCTAACACCTAAATTAGAAGGAAACCATAATTATATGAGTACAAAATACTATAAGTCTGAAATACTATACAAATAATTAGTTTGGATTAAAAAATGAACAAGAAAAAAAATACATAGGACGTGGACATGAATTGAAACAACTATCGGGCGAATGCAATTCGCAAGGAGGCAGGAACCAAGATGTCGCTGCCGTGGGTGGCTGCTGTTCCGATTGTCGCCGCCGTCAGGCGCCGTTCTCTAGCGGTCCAGCTCGCAAATCGGCACGTCGCGAACTCATGAGTCGTGATCGAGAGTGCGCGTGGCGTGGTTCCTCGCCTCCAAACGCCTTTGGAAAGAAAGACCAACGTTGTCTTCTTGGGCGGCTGGCCAATTCTTCCGCCTATCTTTCGTCTTCCCATTAGTTTATTGATGATGCCTAATAGACTATTGGGTCTTGGGGTTTGTATACCTAGACTTGAGCCCTCATCGGCATAGGCCCTCGGCCGTCAAGACTCGTGCCCTCCCCTAGGGCCGGCACTGGGGAGGAGGAGAACATCGGGCCGTTCCGCCGGACGAGCACCCTTGACGGGCCGGATGGCCACACGCATGGCGCCAGCGCCGCCAGCTCTGACAACCGCGCCCAGGTAACGATGGGACTCTCACTTACATTAACCGCTTCACCAAACCTAGCAGTAGACTGACTACTCCTGCCTCTTCCCCCTTCCTTCCGATATATACAGATACAGTGATGCAATTTTCATAATACAATTGAGAGGAAGAGTGATTTTTCAGCAATAGCAGAGGTTTAGAAGGGTTCTAGTAGGTTCTAGAAGGAGACGAATCAGGGATGCATGAGAATCTGGAGGAGGAAGAAGATCGAGGACACGAGCTAGGAAGGGCGGGATTTACGCTTTTGTTGTTTGATCGATAATCTTCAGATCATCGGAAGCAGCCTTGCTTGGTTTTTGTATCACCATCGCCTCTAGTCTGCTAACCCAGTTTGGTTTGGAGGGCCTCCGGACCAGGAATATGACGCTCCAATTTATGTTTAGGGATATATTACTGAACCCATTTTAAGGGATTGGCCTTATTATAGTTTCACTTTTTTTTTGAGAGCAAAGGATTGGCCTTATAGACAAGAAGTTTTGGTAATATATATGCTCTAGAAGACTCTTTAGCCAAAGAGTTCTATCCTGAATTTACACTGCTTATGATTAGAGCTTTATCTTAACTTTTGCACTGTGTGTCTTGCTCTGTTATTTTGGAAAATCCGCTGTCTAGGTCGGAGTCTTGCCTTGTTGTTTTTTATCCAAACTGGCACATTTTGTAATTTTAAACAAACGCTCTGGTTTCTAATCAAAACAGAATATGTGCCCATAGCTCAGTAACTGTAGGCTCTACTAATATACTGTCTAAAGTGCTAAGCATTTCCATCGTCATGATGTATGTCTGCTTCCAGATCCTCTTTCCCTGACATTCTCATCCTGTCATTCTGTAGTTCATCGCTGACTGATAAGTTATGAAGAACTCAAGGTCTTAGCTCAGATTCGATTCGTATTGACATCATTTTCATTCTTGTAGTTACTGATCTGTCACTGTGCCTGACATAATACCCTTTATGTTTTGTTACCCTGTTGTGAGCATATCCATTTCTGTAACGCCATGCAGGCTGCATTAGCTCGCCTTGAAGCTCTTGAGAGTGATAATGCCGGGGTTGAGGTGGTAGATCTTAATGATGATGAGTATGGATCCACGGACGAGGAAGACCCGGGTCAGTTTCTTTCTCATTTGTCTCCATACCAATTCCAAAAGGATAATGTTGATACGGTATGCAGAGACTCGATGAGAATTTACTATTGAACAAATTAATCTTCGCAAATGACGAATATTCAAACACAGGGTGGTTATGTGTGATATTTATTTTCATTGCTTGTAGTATCAATTTTCCAGACTAAACAACATTCTTCATTCTTTTCCTTCTAAATGAATTGATAAATAAGATTAAAATGTCCTTGAAATACTTCTACCAAATCTGGTACGAACACCAGAAATTATTCATAAGGTGACTGTGTTTTTAGTCAATGGAATGCCCCTGAAGCCAGCTCTTCACATGCTCTAGCTTCTCATCTGTAAAGGTTCATGGGTTCAACGTTTCTGGAACTTCTGCATTTACATACATTATATAGATGCTCTACCCAGGGACAATAGAAGTTTCGATGTAGTCATCTTTTGTTTTTGAATTTCATTTCTACAGTCCTCATGCAAAAAAAGCAGTCCAAGATTATGAAACGCAAGACAAGGCAGGGGAAAGCTTTGGAGAAGAGGGCGGCAAGATCATTCATGGATGTCTTACAAGAAGTAAGTAACCTTCTTTCTCGCATATTTATTTTCTAAGGAGGGTTCTTAAAAGATTTTCACTCTGCAACTGTGACAGGCAAATCTGGAATCCCTACCTCCTCATGTCCCAACATATTTGAGGGCTGCTGTAGGTCCACTGAGCTCTTCATCTCAACGGCACTACTGCTCAGTCTGTGGTAGTTCTGCAAACTACACATGCGTGAGGTGTGGAACACGGTTCTGTTCTTGCCGCTGTGAAGCTGCCTGAAATTTGTGGCTTGACCAACTAGTTCTACAAGCTACATCTGATGTATGTCCACTCCCTAATGATTGCTCGTCTGTGGTTTGATCAGTAGGATATGCTTGCTGTGTATGTTTTGTACTCTGTGTATGTTTTAAGAGACAGGTCTCTTATGTGGCCGTGACTGGAAATATGTAGAGTTATTTTCAGAGATGGCCGTGTTAAAAGAGACCTGCCTCCGAAAATCTATTTTCAAATACGGACATGGGCATTAGGCCACGAGATGATTTCTAAAGATGATAAAATAAGATGCTCAACTCTTCAAATAAAAGCTAATGCGTGATAAAGCCGTTTTGTAGCGGTGTTATTCCTAGACACAATCTTACAAGACGGGGAAGACCTGACTACCTTAATTTCGCCCAAGGTCAAGCCGTGTCAATTTTTATTATGTATAAGGCAGCGCACTCAGCCAATAATTTTTATTTAATCGTTAATTAGTGCGTGTGGGTGGGCAGTGGGTGTGGGTGGGTTGGTGGCTTTTGAGAAAGTAACCATCTCAACAAAACTCGCGTCTTTGTAAACTGTAAAGTTGAAATACCCAAGCTGTCCGGCCGGCGTACACTTTTTGAACGAAGAAGCCCGAAGGAAGCTTGGATCCTCTTGGTCTGATTGAGACTTTGCCGAGGTTAACTCGTTCAGCTATCTCTATAAGAGTCAGGCAGCTATCAGTGGTGACATACAGGTGACACTAACGCAGCAGCCGCGTGTGTTGTTGTTATACTTACCTGCAGGTATCCTCGCTAGAGCAGGCTAGCCTTGACGGCGACATGGCGGCCGCCAACCAGGTACGTTCTGTTTCCACTGTATATATACACGTAGCAGTAGGAGTAGTATAGCAGCAGCAGCCCTTCTTGTTGATTTGATTTCGTTGTTTCTATCATAATCTCTCTCCTTTTAACTGTATTTGCCAAACTGAAATGTTGCTAACAAAAAAAGAACAGCTGTTATTGGGCTATTTTTATTACACTGTACGACCCTCATCACTTCAAAATTATACAAGTATCCCCTATAACTTACATGTGAGGTCACTTAGTTTTGAGAGGCTACGGCTGACAATTATCATATCTGTGCTAGCAAAAATAAAGGTCAGGTGTTCGATCTTGGGATACCGATAATTTTACCTAGGACCTCTGTGGATGTATATATATGTGTGTTCCTACCAATTTCACAAACTTTGCACAATGGAATTATATACGTGTTGTTTCTCACTTGACTTTGCCATCAAGTGACCAAGACAAGACGATGCTTATAAGGAAATAAAGCACAAGACAATGAAATGATTTTTTTTCAAGAATGTAAGCTATTCCTAGTACGTGCCATCCACTGATTTATGTACTCTGTTGTTGAGATGTGATCTTGATGTGTGATGGCTATTGTGGTATGATACTCAACCGGAGATCATGTGTAGTGGAGGTGTGGATGGCATCTCCAGGGGGATTACCGAGGTTGATTTGCTTAAATTGGGTTGGTCAAGTGGATGACACCCGATTTAGGTAAATTAACGCGGTGGGTCCCTTATAGTCCCTTTGCTAGTTTACCCGAAACTAGCCGTTCTTCAAATCATATATAAGCGATTGATTATCCTTTGCTGGTTTGCTTGTAAACCTAGCCTCTCTTCTCTTGAAAAGTGTGATAGTTATCCGCCACGCTTTTCCTCAAGAGCGATCTAGCTCTAGCTTGTGTGTGACCCATGTTTGCGCCAACAGCAGTAATGCTCAAAATCTTGTCCAATACGTTTCCTTGAATAGAACCTATATAAGACGGTACCTTAGTTTATCAAGCACAATTTCGTTCAGACTTTGTCATAAATCGTAGTTAGAGCACAAACTCCAACTGAAATTCGGTGTTTTAGCATTATGCCTACTCCATTTAGGTAAGAACCGAACATGTATGCAACATCACAAGGAGAGTGTATACCAAAACTTATAAATACAATTCTCCAAAGGAATTTTACAGAAGAACGCACAATCAACAAACATCTTCTTCGAATAATGTTATCTTTGGCATTATGTGCCAAGGAGGCCATGACGACATTGAGCGTCTGAGCCCTCAACCCTTGGAGCTCGAGCTTGTGTGAAACGGGGGAAGGGACCGAGCCGGGAAGGGGGAGGAGTGGCCTGTGACGGAGAGGATTGCCGGCCGCGGGACAAGCGGAGGGTAGAGGTCGAGGTGCAGTGGGCAGCGCGCAGTGGAGCAGCCGGAGAGAGGGGGCGATTGACGAGTGTTGGCCGTGAAGGTTTGTCACATCTTGGGGTGGCTAGAGTTAGTGAGGGAAGCAACAGCGGCAGGGAAGAAGGGGTGATAGCCGAAACACCGAGCTTTCCTGAAGGCTGATGATGCTAAGTGATGGAGGCCCGAGATCGACGGCTAGGTGGAAAACTGTCTCGGGATCCAACGGTGGACAAAAATTGGACGACGTGGCGCAATGAATTGCTCGGGCTTGGACTCTAGATTCAAAAGGAAGAGATGGCGACCCACCACAGTTACCACACTAAATGCTAGTTTGCTAGTCAAGGTATGCACAAATTAAAATATTACAAATGCACCGAAGCTTGTCTAACTTATTGAATCATCAAGCAGTAGGCAAAGCATAGCATAAAGAAACAATTCATAAAATATTATAATAGCTAGTGTCTGCCAATTAACTAATCCTACCTCGCCATTCATATCAAGGAGTTGTTGCCACATCACCATCTAGCTCGCGTGTGAAAGCAGAGCTCTTTGGTAATTCCTAAAGCAGAGCTCGCGTGTATGGACAAAAACCAAAACGCCGTATATAACTTAAAATGGAGGAACCTAAAATGAAGGAAGTAGTTGCCAGTAAAGGTATGGACAAAATATGCCTTTTATATAAATGCACTGATGCTTAACTTATTCGATCCTCAATTTTGTCAAGTACTGTAGTAGGTAAAGCAGCATAAAGAAACAACCATATAATATAGTTGGGGTCTGCGCATAATGCTGGAAGGTAGTGGCTAGTGTCTGCCAATAACTAATCCTAGGTCGGCATTCCGCATTCGATCATATCAAGAGTTGTTGTTGCTACATCACCATGTAGCTCCCATGTGAAAGCAGAATCTCTTTGGTAATTCCAAAATTACAGGTTGTATTGGTGTAGTATTATATGCTAGTTAACTGTTAAATTATTATTTTATGATTTTCTTGATAAAGCTAATTATTCTCTCTTTGCTAATTATTCATTTCACATGCATGCAGGTCAAAGTAAGTGGTTCGCTCTATTTGCCCTGGATCCGAGTCGAATCAAAGAAGGACACCCCGAATCAAACTTCACAGCAATGATTCGTGTAAAAGCGCCAGCATCGGTACCTAGTAAAAATGCGTTCCCCATACACCTAATTGTGGCGCTCGATGTCTGTGGCCAGCCGGCAACAGGACCAAGGTTGGACCTGCTGGAGATGATGGAGTTTATCGAACGAGAGTTCAAGTCACAAGGTTCGCAATCAAAAAAAAAGTCACAAGGTTCACATGCACACGCGACACGACACGAGGTTGATGTCGCGACTGCAACGAAACCACTGGTGCCCATTGCCGAGTGGATATATGAGCATATGAGCACGGGTGGAACTGACCTTAAACCAGACTTGCAGCGCACCCTCGAGGTAAGTGGCATCCTTAGTGTACATTAATTGTTAAGAGTTTCCATATAAGAACTATATCGCTGGTTCATATAATACTACTATATATGTACGTGTTGTTAATTTTAGACGTCGACTTGAGAATATTTTTCATTTTATATTTAGTATATCTGCAAAGTTGAGTGATTTAGATGCAAATTTAAGAGTTATCTACGTTATCTATCATAGTGGAAGTGGTGGGTAGTTTATAGATGTAAATTTAGATTCTAAGTTTAGATCTAATTTAGAAGCTACTTAGGTTGTTTTTAATAATGGCGGGTTTGATTATTTAGATGCAAATTTAGTGGTAAAATTTACGTTATTTTTCGTATGGCAAAGATGGATAATTCTTTCATGACTACAATAGATACAATGCCTATTATCTTAAATCTTACTATTACTAATTAGAGACCCGAACGGAGGCTCCACATTATTTCTCCCTAGACATCAGATGCTCTAGAAAAAAAAAGAATAAATCATGAAAATTCTCACAATAAT